AAGGGAGCACAGAGCAATGCTGGAGAGCTGAAGTGTGGACGTGGAGTCCCAGGCCCTTCCCGTATGGAACAACTCACTGTGCTGGTTGAAATCATCCCAGAGCTGCTCCGGTGCCCTGTGCATGGCCAGCAACTCCCAGCCCCATCCCTCATACAACTCGTGAGGCTGCAGGAACACTGCAACAGGCACAGCACCCAAACAGCATCCATCTACCCCAGACAACATGCAAATTTGCCCCTCAGCCCACCCAGGGAGCCCAGGACACCAACCTTCCAAGCAGCCGCAGCTTGCGAGGGCCGTACTTGTCCATGACAATCCCCAGGGGCAACGTGATTGCACTGAGCAGGAAGGACCCAATGGTGAAGGCCAAGTTCAGCATTTCATCCTGGGCATTGCAGGAAGGCCATTTGTGCTCTGAAGCTGTGCTGTTCTCATGTTCAGGGCTGCTGGTGCTGTTTCCTACGCAGGATAATAGAGGATCATCATTGCAGCTTGTTAGGATGGGGCTTGCAGCGTTGCAGGAAGGAGGGAAGAGAAAAGCCCCACATGCAGGGTGCCACAGCACACTCCATTTTGTATTATCGTCAGTGAGAAATGGAGAAGAGAAAGAGCAGCAGCAGGACAAGGGAAACCTGATGAGCTCAGCTGGGAGCAGAAAAGGGCATACAGGCACCCAGGGGACAAGTAGCCCAAGCAGCAGCAGGGTAACAACTTAAGGACAGAGCTAAGGACAGAAATTCGTTAATTTGTAAAGACAACTATACAGCAAGGCCCTGGCAATTACAGGGGACTAAACCCACAGAACCTGAAGGGACAAATACAAAAATAAGGTCCTCCTAATCCACAACTGGCATGTTCTCACAGATCTTTTCCCTAACTAAACTAGGAGCAATAACTGCAGCCAAATCAGTTATTTCCAGACACTGGGCTGACAAGGCCTGGCACAGAGTGACAGCCTGCTCAAACAACAAGCTTCCTACCCTCACTGCAGGCACCGGGATGAGGGATGGCTTTGCAGCAGCCACCCTGCTTCCCGTCTGCCCTGGCTCAGAAAAATCCTTCCTGGATTTAACTACCCTATTCCCAGGAGGGCTGGCAGCTCACCTTCCTTCTCCGTTCGTTAATGGATTGATGCATCTTTAACTCTTGCCTCGTAATTAGCTTTTTCTATTCTTTCCAAGCGGGTGTAGGCCATACAGATCAATTTTATCTCCAGCTTTCTGTTCTTGCCCTTACATGAGGAACTCTGCATGTAAACTCCCACGCTGAACAGAGCCCACATTGTGTAACAGAGACAGAAACAGGACAGTTTAAGAAAAAAAAAGTTCCCTTTTCTTTGCAGCAGCAGTTTTACTGCCTCATGTCAGTTCTGCTCCTGTTACAAGCCTATCCCAAGGTGGCTTACAACTCCTCAAGCGAGCACGTGTGCCTTTAGACTTTCATTAACTCAGAGCTCTAGTGTACTCCACTTCTCCTCCCAATGCTTATCTGACTTATAAGTAACCTTTGCTGGTATGACAAAGCACTTGCTTTCTTACCACTGCCGCAAGCCAGTGACATAAAATGCTCTCCTCCATATTTAATAATTGACCTGACAAAGTTCAATATTAAAGGAGGAATAGAAAGAGAAGCCACCTACATAACCATGCGCATGAAGCAAGACTAGAGATTCCCAGCAAGCCCTGGTTAGTTAATTAGCAGGAATCCCTCACGTACCAGTGACTTCACATTCACTGCTTCATGCGGCTCATGGAGGAGATCCCCTTGGCTGCTCTCGCCCTCCCTGCGTCTCTGGAGACCACACAGCCCTATCTTATAACTCCTTCCCTTCTACCCAAGCCTCAGCACCATTACAGTCACTGGTGTCACCCTGGTTCTCCTAGCTGGCCAAAACAACCCTCCCAGCTTTGCGTCCATTGCAAACAAGTCACACTGCACCTTCCAGACAGCAGGTATTAGCAGGAATTCAGACACTGATATCCAAGGCTTACAAGCTGCCTGCAAACCTACCTTTGTCCCCTCCCAGCACTCCAGGGAAGGCACTCAGCATTCCTCTCCATTTACACTGCTCTCGCCAACACCTTTACTAAGATGGTCTCAAACCGCCGGTGGGCGGTGATGACCGTTCCTTCCCTTTGCCATGTGGTCCCGACTGATAACTTCATCTGTCCCTTCTCTTGCCCTCCAGTCATGGATAGCCAGAATAAACAGAGATATCCCCAAAGGCCACATGTCCCATGACAGCACTCCAGCCCCAGGCTCCCAAGTCACATCCTTAGAAATCAGTCCTGGACAGACTTGGGAGGCTCTCTGCAGTTCTTACACTACATCTCAATCTTTTTCATCCATCTTTCCCTCACAGCCTCCTATTGGTGTGGCCCAGGATCTTAAATGCCGATTTCTGACAGCATCTCCATGAGGCAGGCACAGGCACACAGCTTCACCCACAGCATCAAGGCTTTTTGGGCTTTCCACAAAGATAAATTTATAGGAAACAGATGTGGGTGAGAGGTTAAACTTGGGAAAACAAGGAGGGGGGGAGTGACAAAGTAGTAGAGGTTTCCCTGTGTCAGCACTCTACAGAGATAGCTCAGCTGCGGAGTGGAAGAAGGGTGGAGGGACGTGGATAGTGCAGTGACCTTATAACTTCTGACTGCATGCATCGAAGAGCCTGTCAGCCCTCTCCACAAAGGGATCGCAAAACAAATACTCAGCATTTAAAGCTGGAGTAGATGAATTACTGTTATTGTATTGAGGTCTACAGTTGCAGCATGACCCCATGAGCTCCCACAGCATACGCCTGCTAGGAGACCCTCTGATGGCATGCACCACGAGCAGCAACACCGGGAGGCGAAAAGGACACAGCTCAAACAGCAGGAAACTTGGCCCTCTGAAGACTTGCTGCAGCCAGGAAGGCTGAGAACAGGGCACCAAACTTCAGCCCCTGCTTGTACCAACAACCTCATTTACAGCTGCTCATCACCAGCTCCAAGGAGGGGCCAGGCAACAGTGCTACATGGAAATACAAATTGTTTGTGGAAATAGAAGCAGCCCCTGAGCAACAAGAGAAGATCCACTGAGGCGTAATGGAAATGATTCAAGCAGCCCTTGGCACCCTGACATCCTCTGATCCTTTGAGCCACCTACATAAATAGAACTTTTTGGAGAGGCTGCAGGTGTGTGCAGCATGCACAAGGTCCAGCAGAGAGCTGTCTCTTTGGGGAGCACAGATTCGTGCGCCGGCAGGTCACCAGCACACAGGAGAGCAAGTGGCAGCATATGACATGCAGCTAGGAGGAGATTAATGGGCAGAGAACCTGCCTAACTACTCACCTACCTAATGCACCTGGTTACAGCAAACAGCAGTTTCCCTCAATCACAGCTCAGATCCTGTTCCAGATCAGTGCATGCCACACTGCTGGGGAAAGTCTCCTACGTGCCTGGCTCCATCTACCACAGTGCTTTGGGGAAGGGCTGTCTCTGTGCCGACAGGGCTGCCCTCCCCAAATTCTCCTGCCAAGTCCACCTGCAGGCAAGCATGCCAGGTCTGACACACAGAGTGCCACCCAGGTAAGCCCGCGGTGCAGGCTCAGTCGGTGTGTGCCCGCCGCTCTCACCGTCGTGCTAAAAGAAGCTGCAAGTCTTTATCAGCAATTACAAGAACATACTGCCTATTTTTACAGCGCTGCCCCTACAACAGCAGGATTTCTACTGCCCAATTAGTAGTTCAAGTTACTATTTAAAGAATGACAGCTTAGGTGAGAGGAAGGCTGCCTCGGTAATCATTTATGTCAAGCTCATCACTGGGATTTGTTCAGGCTGTTACTGGAACATTGAAAGTCATCCTTTCTCCCAAATTAAGTGCTATAGGTTTCATGAGAGGGTCAATCATTAACTACTCTTTGCTGACCTCTTCAAATCCCAGGGACACAACACAGTACCAGAGGAATGAGTCTGGCTTTTTCAGGACTGACTGCCATCTCAGATGGCAGAGAGAAGGTTTCCTTTCATCTGTTTCTTGGATCAGACTGAGCCAAGCAGGCAAGACACCCCCAGCCACCCTGGCAAATAGCTCTGTGGGACACAGCCTGCACAGCCTCACCTTCCTCTCTTTTTAAAAAAAAAAGGGAAAAAAAGAAATCAAGGCCTGCATTGGGAGCATTGGTTAAAAAATAAATAAATAAATCACAGTGAAAGACATGTGCAAACAACTGATCTACAGTCTGCCCACATAAGAACATGTTTTCTCTTTTCAGGATGGTGTCATACTTCTGGGAACTGGGAGGAGATGTTCTTGCTTTATACCACTGCAAACGCAATTAATTTGGGTTTCCCTCTCTGCCTGCCCATCCACGTGCACCTCCAGGACCCCCTCCCTGGGCACCCAGCTGAAAGCCTCATAAGACTGAGGCAGAGTGTCCAGTTAAACTCCCATTCTCTCCCCAGCTGCTGTTTCATTTTGCAGCAATTCTCACCCGGGGCCGGCACCTTCCCAAGCAGCTCTCCGATACCACCGACAGCTGCTAATCGACACAGCGTGTTTCCTGTAGAAATTGAACATTTACCACATTTACTCTTTTCCTGTTTACAGGGTCGCACGTGCAGCCTTTCCACAAGACATCGTCACATCTTAGCTTGGGAGGGACCTTCAGACTGCAAGTTCTCCAGCACAGACCCCAAATAAGTAAGAGCAAAATGCTGTAAGGCAGCACCTTCCTCCTAAGCCCGTGTTAAGGTGCATTAATCTGCCGTAAGTGAATTAGCTTATCGTCCCTTTGGTCTTCTGCAGCCCTGTCTTAGAGGAAGGCCCTCTGTTCAGCTGGCTCCTTATCTCTGCTCTTTGTGAGCAGATTACCAAGACTTTTTTTTTTAAACATGTCTCAGATCCAAGCCTTGAGCTTCACAATCCCAGCGACATCACAGCAACACAAGACCCTGAACAGATCAAGTTCCCCAAGAGCTGATAAGGCCCGAATCCTGATAAAGACTGCAGAATCAGCACTCGCACTGAATAAAAGATGCTGCTTCAGTTGGTTAAGGGCCAAGTAGTAGTGTAGTAAAATTAAAATGGGAACAAAGTGCCACTACCAGACTCCTTGTCAGCAAATTTCACACATACCTCTCAGGACGTGGCCAAACCTGCTGCCCAGAACAGGTACAACCCCCCACTCAAATCCTGTTGCGCAATTACTTTAAAAATATTTGTTACTTTAATGGAGATTTTTTTCTAGGTGTCCGTCCCTGCCCTCACACAACTGAGTTGAGAGTCCGGCAGACCCCACGTGTTTGCATGGTGGCCGAGTAAAATCCAGTACCAGAAACCAAGGGCAGGCAGGGCAAGGGTGGGGGGATTCAACAGGAGGACAAGGAGCCCTTCATGAATTGCAGTCACTTTCTGGGCAGCTGCTGATACCTTCAGAGAAGAGCCTGCAGAAGGGACAAGGTCTAGTTTTCTCTTTCATTGGAAGGCATCACAAAGTGCAAGAGCTTTTGCTGACAAAGAAAAAGCCCTGCCAAGAACCTTTGGCTCACTAGGAAAAGTCTTTTTTTTTTTTTTTTTGCAATACTTACATGCACACAGCAGCATTAGGAACAACAAGTGCCCAAAGGCTACTAGTTACAATTTGTTTGCACCAACTTTCCAGCCAAATACCCACTCAGGCTGCAGGATTCAATAGTTTTTGCTGAGAAAGGCAACCACTGGGCCATCCTAGCCCCAGCAGAAGTCAAACTCGGCTTGGTGCCGGTCATTCACGGACCGCTGCAGGGCAGCTGCATGGGAATCTGCTCTCCCCACACTTGGAGCTAGGACTCTTCCCTATCAAATCGATGATATTACAATGAGGACAAAACCAGAGAAAGGAAAGTGAGTAAGCACGGATGAACAAGGAAACCGGCATAACTGGTCCTCAGTGCTCATCACAAGCCATCACTGAGTTCAGCAGTGATGGCCAGATATTTGAGGACAATGAGAACATTTGACTGCATAAATTTCTTTTCAGGGAATAAGTTCTCCTGCCTCAGGGCACAGGCTGGTCACTGGGAGGAGGAAATTGCCCCCAGGACAGTAATTTCAGCACTGTCCAAACATTTGCATCTTCCCTGGGGTCTGTGGCATGGGCACTCCCATGGGGAGAGCCGGACAAACCACAGACTGGCAAACATGGGTGAGAAGCCAAGGTGAATCTCGGATTTGGGACAAAGGCAGATGAATTGAAAGCAATCAAAGCAAAGAGTAGGAGGTGGGCCCCAAGTGAAGTGGGGCTCTTGTCAGCACGGCACATCTTGGGAAGCAGATAGGAAAATGGCTGCTTTCAGAGACAGTCAGCATTTCCTTATCAACTCTCATGTGTTTTATCTCAATGACAGAAAGTTTCCACCCGATAGGTTTAATGAGATCTCTGTCACAGGCCTGTGACAGAGTCACCATGGCTTGGCGAGAGCTGAGCAGCCTTGAATAGAAGTCCTAAATGGTCTCCCACCGCTGAGGCCTCTCCCTCATGCAGCCTGCAGTACTGCTGGAGACCCAAGTGACACGGACACGCTCGGTAGCGTCATGCTATGATCAGAGGATAGGAAGGAAATTAAGCAGCCAAGCTACAGCTGGTAAAAGACTTGAACACGTGCATGTTTGCCAGGTGCAGCAACCCAGGCTCTACAAGACTGAGGCAGCCGCCCACTGGCACGCAAAGCAGAAGACAACCGTAACAAGCAGCTGATGAATGAGGGAAAAACAACCCCAAAGCATCATCATCACAACTACTCAGTCACTTTTTGATGGGACTTTTGTTTCCCCACATTTCAGACTTCCCCCACTATTCTCAGCCATTACCCACTGAGAGCTCTGGGGTCCATGCTCTTATTTCCACCTCTTTCTTCCCCTACTGCTTCCTGCTCCATCTCCACACTCACCAGCCCTGAATGGGCTGATCCACCTTCGCATCTCATCCACCATCACACGTCGGCGGACAGAGCCCAAATACCTACCTCTTGCCGCTCTTCACTCCATTGTTCCCTTCTCTGAGCACATGCAAACCTTCTGTCACTAAAGCAGCTTTCCAGATCCATACCACACCTTTACCCTCAGCTTCCTTTTAGCTCCACTGTCCACCCTATTGTACTGTGGGATTCCCCAGACCACAATTCTGACCATGCCCAGGCTGGGGATATACATCCACCTACATGTTGTTTTTCCCAGTGTTATCCTTCCCACGCCACAAGATTGCCTCCTTCCCTGCAACGCTGTGTCTGAAATATGGACAATCGCTTCCTCTGCCTGAGCCAGAAGGTGGATCTCCAGCCCTGACAGAGACGTGGCCTGCTTTGAGCATGTCCTGGGTGTTTGAAGAGGGAGAGTAACAAAACATCAGTAGTATTTACTTCTGCTACTTCTCAACAGCAGCACTAGACTCCTCCAATCTCATTTTCACCCATGCTCTTTTCTTTCCTATCACTAAGGAAAGAGGGCCCATAGTTTCCTCCTGCAATCTCAGGACACCCTCCCTGCAAATCATCATCTTCCAGAAGCCATCAGACCTTCCCTTGCAGAGATCAGCCAGGCCACCACACAGAGGAAGAACTCATAGCCAAGTGGAAAAGACTTTCCAGGAAAGCTTTACCTAATCTTTAAAGCCTCTTTTCCATTCACTTTGCAAAGCAAGAGCAACTACAGGCTCATTACACCATCAGAAGGATGCCATCAGTTTTGGAAAGGAGCACACATCCCTTTCTTCTACCCCAGGACTGACTCAGAGCTCAGCCCTACGCTGGCTAGTTCCACACCACCCTAAGACAGGGAACCACACCAGCAAACCTCAGCAGCCACTTATTCACACAAGTCTCCAGCATCCTTACCTGACTCATGGCACAGGTAGGAGTAAAACCCTTCTGCTTTCAGCATGATGAGGAGAGACCCCCAGCCCAGCAGGACGGCAGAGAAGAGCAGGTTCTCAATGATGGCTGTGAATGCCATCCACCAGCGCCGGCGATGGGCAGTAGCAAGCGTGGGTGCCATTGCTGTGTGAGAAGATGGCCTCGTCCAGAGTATCAACCTGCAGGGACCAGAATAACGTCCAGTGAGTCCACAGACAAAGCACATGCTGCTCAAAGAGTGTAAAAAAAGCATGATTTAAGACTACATCTCTCCACTGGAACACAATCAAACCTGCCTGCTGAATGAAAGGCACTCAGGTGTAAAACTTGTTTTTGCAGGTACTAGCTTGCCAAGTTACCTGGAGGGATGGAGGAGCACAGGTGCCCTTGGAGCTGCCCCTCCAGTGCACACACTGCGCGACAGAGGAGCGTTCAAGGACTCCGTTCCACTTCCCGAGCAACAGGTATGAAAATGCAGCAAATATCAACTGCCTGGAGCCCACTGCTCCATCACTTGATGGGGCAGGCAGCCCATTTGTGAGGCTGCGAGGAAACACGTGCCAGAGTAGGGGGGCTTCAGCCAGCACCCCAGTCTCCTGGCTGCTTGCAGGCAGAGGCAGAGACAGGGGAGGCAGCCCCACAGCCCTAACAGTGGCTTTAGTGACCCACCAGGTCTGCTCTGCCCCACACAGGAGCACAGATTTGTTCTGGAAGGTGAGCATGGGTCCTATATGTGCCATGAGTCCTACATATGCAGTTTATACCACAGATGGCTCATCGGGGAGCACTTTTGCTAACTGCCAGACCACCCAGCTGGGACACGAGGCAGGCCGCATCCTGCCCCATCCTAGCCATGTAGTCAGGCAGGTACAATGGCCAGGACAGCCCATGGCACACGCTCCTCCACCTCGGCACACTGGCATCCCCAGGCTGCCCCACAGATGCTGCAGCCGGATTAACCATCTCCAACTCCGGTCGTCCAAGTCCCTGGGGCCCACAAGCGCAAGCAGAA